AAATATGTGCAAGAAACATTCTTATTAGGCATTGAAAACTGCAAGTTGGAAGTAAATATTTTATATAGGATAGTGTGAAGAAGGGTTCATTCTGACATTATGCTGGGGAAAATCAGGATTATGTGGGATTTTTTTGAAAGTTTATGTTGAGAAAAAAACATCAAATTATGTGGAAAATTAAAATGAAGTGCAACTGCTTGTGTTTGCTTACTGTGTTCCTAATGMAAAACAGGTTTGTTAGGTATGTTTATTTAACAAGTCACAATTCATTGATTTATCAAACAGGATATTCCTACTGCAGCCAACATCTCATCTGTATGGAATGGTTCTCCATTATCCAGTCCAACATCATCTGATTCTCTTCATGATCTGGTAACAATGTAATATATCAGAAACCAATAAGGGACTTRAAATGTATAACGCCTTGCCAACCGTTGGAATATTCAAATCTAATTTGCATGTCATTTCCTTATTTGGAACGATTAAATTTATCCTAGCCAACCAGAACGGGCTTTAAATCTCTTATCCAAGAGYCAAATATTCCAAATATGGTCATAACGGTTGTTTTCAAATTTTTAATGAGCTTTGAATATTCAGACGCTTGGTAATATTAAAGAAATGTACATGGGTTAGACGTTTCAAGTCCCTTATGGGTTATTGAATATATTTAATCAGATTATCTCAAAGGGTGCAGTCCCAAGCTGTTTCCTTATATAGGACTAAACATTTCAAGTACCATTCTCAATTTTTGTATGTAATCTCACTTATCATTTTTTTGTAAACAAAATTGTAAGAAGTCTACTAAATAGGCTGATCTTTGAGAACTTTTTAGTGTTTCATCTCCAGTGATATAATGTGATGGTGACAGTATTTTTGAAAAGTCAAATGTCATGCAATATATAAATTGCTTTTGAATATAGATTCATCCATCTACCAATATCTGGGCATCTCCTGACCATCTCTCCAAGAAACCAAATAACAGCACAGCACCTACAAAACCTCCTCCAGGGTTCCCCCCACGAGAGAAGCCATACAGAAGACCTTTCTCACCAGCTTTTGAGGTGCGGCAAAGGGTAATTACTTGATTGGTTTGGTGAATCGCACTCTATTGCTTTATGAAAAGTATGTTTCTCTAGGACTAGAGACTTTGTTTATTTGAGCTTGATTGACATGTCTTTGTATGGTGTTTATTCAAGCTTGATTGACATGTCTTTGTGTGGTGTTTATTTGAGCTTGATTTTTATGTGGTCAGTGTTTATGTGGGCTTGATTGACATGTCTTTGTGTGGTATTTATTTGAGCTTGATTGACATGCCTTTATGTGGTCAGTGTTTATTTGAGCTTGATTGACATGTCTTTGTTTGGTGTTTTAATGAGTTTGATTGACATGATATTGTGTGGTGATAGGATGATGCTATTGTGACTGCTGTACCAAAGTCAGAGACCCTCTTACCACCCAGTAGCTTTACAAAGAAAATCCCCAGCAATGCAATACGTCTTGAGGACTTAGAAAAAGATCTGGGAGATGGAAAACAGCATTATGATCAGACACCTAAACAACCTGCAGTGCGTCCACCACCAGGGYTTCCMAACCCCATGATGATGACACCACCCAGATACCCCAATATCCCACGTACTCCCCATAATACCCCCCACATCACGCCCCATCAAACACCTCGGCACATGTTTCATGGTTACAATTCACCAAGACCTAATATGGTAAGYTGTTCAGATACCAGACATAACCTTACATTTACGCATAATGTATAATGTTAATATGTGATACTTGTATGAAGGGCAAATCAAATTGTCTATTAGCATGTTAGATCTACAATTAGACCTCGAGGTTGAGTGGACTATGAGCTAATAGCCCATGAGACCAGAGTCCGCGAGGCTGAATGGGCTATTAGCTCGTAGTCCAYGAGGCCGAGAGGTCTAATTGTTTTAGTATAAACATACTAATCGGTCAAATAATGAAAACAAATTAAGATATCCTTAGAATAATTTAGAATTTAGAGTTTATTTATTTAGATTTTCCCCGCGAGTGGTCTATCACAAATTAGATCATTAATAGAGTAGCCAATCATAGCGCAGTATGAGTGATAGAACATTAATATGTGTATACTAATGTTAATTAGAAAAAAATATTTTGAAGAACGATGCCTGAAAGCTATTAGGGACGAGTAAATTAGCTTTTACATTGGTTGCTATATGTTTATAAATGTGAACATTGTTTCAAGATGAGTTTTATTCACTTCTTTGTTGATTGAACTATTTTAGTTTCCTCTCACAGCTGTTATGAGACTCGTTCCAGGTCTCTCCTCCTGGTAAGGAGCCTGATAAGAGCTGAGAGGGGAGAMTAGACTATTTGTGATTGAATTTGAATTATGTTCAAAATTTTGGTCCATGATAACAAGCTCTCTCTTCTAAAAGAGGGCTGTTATTAGGGCTATTGGTGTTTGACCACCTAACAGACTTTTAATGTAGAGGAACTGGAACTTTTTGTGACCACCCTCATGTAAAACACAATGACTGCTTATTAACTTTTTACTGTATTTTTTTTTGAAATATAACGAAGAAATAACTATCATGTGACATGCCTTTCCATCTCACAGCCATTTCCAAGGACACCTCACATGGTTCCCAACAGACATATGTATGGTAAACTACCGTTATCAGCAGGAACCCCACCACACTTACAACGCTTACCCATGGGACAGATGCACTCAGACCCAGGTATGTCTTGAATTGACATTAAATTGGCTGCCAAATATTTGCATGACTTGTGTGTTCGTCATYTTTTATGTGGACTTTGAACAGTTTTCTCTCTCTAAATGTTGCATGTATGAGATCTCAGTTGTTCTGGCTCATGAAACATTGCATTTTCGCTTCAAAACTTGCTTGATAGCTTTGTATTATTTGTTATTGTTTTTTAGTGATACTTTTTTCACTGACTTGTAAAGACCGGTCCCCACTCTAGTCTTTGTTTTGTTTGTTTTTGTTTTYTATCGTGGAKWAAAATGACAATTAGCTTAAAGAAGTTTGGTAAAGTCACGTTTTATCAGTACACTTAAATAAGCTAAATAAATGTAACTTCAGAAGGAAAAATGCAAAATCTGGTACATCGTGAAAATAGCCTGAAAAATCTCAGCAAAAATCGATGCAGAAATAGTTAGAATGAATCTGCAAACGTAACATTCAAAGTGAAAATTTATTCTTTCAGCCCATTTAATGCGAACTTACCATAATATGCCTCCTCCAAGACCGAGATTCTCCACCCCTCAGGGTTATCCACCTAGCAACTACATGAGACAACAACATGACAACCGTTACCGTGACAATAACCAATACCGTGACTACCAACAACACCAGGCATCTGATCTTGAGAGAAAGATCCATAGTATACTTAATGAAGAGGCAGTCAATAATATGGATCCATATGCTGGATTAATGACCAGAAGAGAGAAAGAATGGATTATTAAGATACAATTACTGCAGTTGACGAGCAGTAACCCTGATATGGATGACTTCTACTTCCAGGTCAATATCATGAAGAGTACTGTTTCTTATCTGTAGTTGAATTGGCCCACTTAATCTGTGAAACCAATGAATTGATACTAAATAGTGTTGATTATATAACAGTAGGAAAGGAGTTTGGCATAATTTAGATTATTTTCATGGATTAAGTGCGTCGTTTACCTAGTATGTACCTAGTATGTGATTAAGCTATTAATACTGAGACAATGCATAGAATTAATTAAATCTTAATGAATATCTTACAATACTTCTAGTAAGACTTTAATAGGCCATTTTTTACGCCAAATTCTGTTTCCGAACTTGAGAATTATTAGATTTTATTTATACTAATTTCATTGATTTACTTGATAGACTTACATAAGAAGAAAACGTGCAAAGGAAAGAGCAAAGCAAGGCGAAGGAGTTGAGAACCTATCAACAAGAGGACGACAACCAGCCAAGATGACTTTGCCTGACTTTGAAAGACAGGAAAGGGAATACAAACCAAGTATGCACTGTTTTGTGATGGATGTTGAAAAACAAATACATGTAGTTAACTTCATGTAGACATATGACAAGTGTCCTCTACGCCCTAAACTAAACACATCACACTAGCTTACGAAATGTATTCAAACCAATGATCAATTGTGTTTTCATAGTGGCATTCAAAGACACCCTTGGTAAACTGTCTGCTTCTCATGTTGCACATCCAAGAGAAATGGTGCAAGTACCTCACATCAACAAAGACTCAGATCAGGTTACACTACAATTCACTAATTTTGCTGTGATAGTTGCTCGCGGAAACATGACGTTTCGAAAAAACGAATAGTGGCAACTGCGAGTTTTGAGGAACATCCAGTTTCCAAGGGCAACTATCACTGCAACATGCACGAGAATTCAACTGTTGTTATTATTCGACAACAAATTTTCTGAAGCGGCGGGCTCTACGCACTAATAGTACCCATCCGCGGCAGGCGCTATCGCGTCACGTGGTCSACTCCACCAATGAGAGTGGAAATAATTTGTGGCTGAATTATGTAACRTTTGGTAGTCTGTTTTATCATTGTCTCTCTGGCAGCATGTCCATTTGTCAGTGTCAAAGTGTCCTTACCTGTGATTGTCTTTCTGTATGGCTACACTGTACATGTCATTTCACATCACTACTTGATTTTCAATGCATTGTAGGATTAGTTTCTAGAGAAAACAATAGAAATCGGCCATGTTTTGTTCCAGACATCCTGCAATGCATTACTAATACGGTACATGACGTAAAGGCATCTGTCAGTAAATGTGAAATAACTTTATCGGTTTGTTGTTGGTATAGGACAAACAAGGAAGTGGCTCTGCTGTTAAAGAGTCTAGACGAAGGCGTCAAATGTTGAGTACCATTGAGAAGGTATACAATGTTCATAATCATTAAAAGTGACTTCATGTGCGTTCTGGTGAAGTGCACCATGCCATGATGGTCATAGCGAGGGCTGCTTGTATATCCGCCATGATGGTTTTATTCTGCCTTTTATTTTTTTTAGGCTTTTGATATTTTGCTTGATCTTGATGACATTGACAGCCAACAGCTACAGGCTTCACCTGAAGACAGGTCAGTAAATACATGATATTGAATCCTTAAGACTGGTTTTCACTAACGATGCAAGCGCAGAAATAAGTACAAACTCAAGAGGCCTTATGTTGTAGGGAAAACCGTCCAACGAAGTGATCTTTTTTCTTGGGGCTGCTATTGTATTTGTGCTTGATTGTACTTGTCTAGTTAAATGATATCTACGCAAATGCAACTTCTTGCGCTTCTTTCCGTGCGTATCCTTGCATCGCTTGTGAAACTTTACAATATTTGTTAATTTATTATTTAGAAACAACCTTTTAGAAAAGAAACAGGCAAATCTCAGCAAGCTGAGTAAGCTACTGAAGCTGAATGATGAACACGATGCATCCACAAGGTAAGGATTGCACAATAAAAAAAAACACCAGAAGAATTCTAATGAGAGTGAATGGTCTAGACTTACATGTAAGCGATGTGTGTGTTGTATGACGAAACTTCAGACAACTAATAACAGTCTTCCTCTTGATTTCTCTCACCTTGACGGTCATATCACACCTACATAGAGTTCTAAATGAAGGAATGGTGATCATGATTATGATGATATAACAGCAAGCCGAGTGCAATAAGTTCATATTATGAAACTCACTCCAATTGAGTCTAACATGTTATTTTAAAAACATGAATAGATATAGAAAACTGAAARTAATGATGACAAATGCAGAAAAGTAAAAATTATAGGTTTTGAGTATATGATGACGTTGCAGGTGACGTCACGTGTGACGTGCAAACAGCACCGCATTAAGATGAAAAAATAATGATACACCTACTTGCGAAAACGTTGGCATAGAAAATAGGACATTTGTATTTAGTAAAAAAGAAATAAATTAAAAAAGACAAAAGAAGATCACTGAGGCTGAACGCTTTCTTTTGTCTTGTTTTAATTTATTCCTTTTTACTAAATTCAAATGTTCTATTTTCTATGACAACGTTTCTGCAAGTAGGTGTATCAAGAGAAGAGTAAATAGACCCCTTGCAGTTCATTGGAATGCAGATCTTACTTGGGGACAAAACAGTGGATTCTAGTTCCCAAGAGGGCAAAATTCCTTTGTTTTGTCCTCCAGGTGAAGCTGCTTTGACGTCACATGCAAGGGGTCTATACCGATATTCGGTATACGAAAATKGGGTATTTTGTTTCAGCCAAGAAACCCTATCTATGCTAAAAGAAAGCAATTTTTTTTTCGAATTCTAGATTAAAGGATAAATCGGTGCTTCATACATTCACTACAAATATGCACTGAAATATTTCACACATCTCAGTTGGCATGCATTTTACTGCATGTACATATTTTACTGATACTTTGTCTGGGCTCCATTAACAATTGGCATCTCAACAAGTTACTTCTTATCATTTTCTAGAGCGGAGTTCCTGTGTCAGCTTATGTCACATCGTAAAGGCAAAGTCCTCACCAGTCGTTTACTACAAGTGTTGGACAAGGTAAAAGTCATTGATCCTATACTAATCCTAATATTCACCCAAACGGACTCTTGACTTGTTATTTTTCTTTATGTAGAGTGCTGGAGAGAATTTGTTAGGGTGCATTTGTCAAAACATTGTATCTGTGATCAAGAAAGACCACCAAGATGAGGTGAGATCTATATTTAGTGACCAGTCCCGCCGCTTGGTCACGTGCATTTTAGTTAACTTTCCCTCCATGTGACGTGCTCTCCACGATTGAAAACATGAGTTTGACTGTCGGGTATAGAAACAAGCAGGTTTTCAGAGTTTTTACTACTCCATGAAATTGGTGAACAAAAAGGAGGGTTTACTTATTTTATKCTTGGTCGTTAAAGCCTGCGTAGGCAGCRTTTCTATGTGTTTCWCCGGCCCGAACTCCGTCGGAGCGGCTAGGAGCGCCTGGCTRCGCAGACTATGGTCGTTACGATTGATATGAAACAAATTTAGATTCACATTTGCGGTGAACGTCAAACATCAAATTGGCTTTTAAACTTTGTTTGAAAGCTTTCAAATTAAAACTGATCACGTGATAGCCGTTTTTCTGTAGTAAACTTTGGTTCTTTTGCGCATGCGTTTGTATATAAATTCGATGTCTTTTGATAGTGATGCGCTCATTCACTAAAAAGACATCGAATTTATATACAAAACGCATGCGCAAAAGAACCAAAATTTACTACAGAAAAACGGCGATCACGTGATCAGTTTTAACGTGAAACTGAAAATCTCTATTGTCAACCTTGTTCAGGTTTTGCCGCTGTTGATTGGTCCCTTGTCTCGAGTTATCGAGATAACGTCGATGGAGACTGCCTTACAGTACTTTAAAAGCATCGTACACGGCAGTAACGAACCATTGTCATTTGTACTCGCAAAGCAGGTATGTCAACTAATCGACCATTATCAAAATTTTRTTTTGTCGAATGAAGAAAAGTGTAAATGAGAAAAGGAAATGACAGGGAAATGCGAATGAATGCTACAGGTTGAACAACGATGAATAAAACATCAGTGARATAGACCGTATAGAAAACTGATCATACAACAAATCTGTGTTTTTCTGTTGTAATATGATTGATRTTYTGTTTTAGTTTGGTATTAGTGTGTTGTGCAGCTTACTTAAGAGAGCTACGGCGCTTAGAATGGAAATCGACCAAAATGAAGACATTAAAAGATCYTGGTAAGACGCACTACTTTGTCAATCAATTGGCCATTCCGAAATTCAAAAGGAGACTGAGAACGAGTGTGAAAATATTACATTCGTCGAAAACTGAACTTTGCCACATGAAAGACCACACTAAAATATTTTGTTCTTGTCAATTTGAGCATATTTGGTTGAATACTCACCGAGTAGGAATTTTTTAATTTTAATTTGTAAAAATAAGAGAGAATGTATGGTTTTTGGGGACGCTTCTCAAAACCTCCATGCATTCTTTGTATTTTTTTCGAGTTTTAAACGCTTGAAACTCTGTAATTATCAATCCGAATACTCNGACCCGAACCGATAAATAACCTAACCTCAATAAAATAATATGTTAATAAGTGCCAATTCAAAATGAAGACATTAAAAGATCCTGGTAAGACGTACTAGACTCTTTGTCAATCAATGATTGGTTAGTACAACATGTAAGACCCGAGCCGATAAATACCCTAACCCTAATACAATAATAATATGTTAGTAAGTGCCAATTCAAATGGTCTTACATTAGGTACTGAGCCAATGATTAGTGCTGACAGACGTTTCTGCTTTTAGGGATGACCTAATTAGTCACGTCACCAAACAATTTACAGATGTCCCAGTGAAGTTATTGGCTAAGAACATAACAGGTGTCACGCCACTTGTCACGGTGTTAGGTTCGTGCTCTAGTCCTAGTGATATGAATAGTCTACAGCAGCATTACAGGTGAGTTAACAGGTGTCACGCCACTTGTCACGGTGCTAGGGGAGAACGGCGAATGGCATTTGTCGAAGGTAGAATGCACGACCGAAAGGKWCTATGGTTACACTGTTTTGATAAACAAAATTTCACTTATTGGATTCACCTTGCATAGAAATGGAGACTAAATGGAGACATTGTTTACCACAGACTATCTTACATAGTGTAAATCAGTTGTTATTTTTCATCAACAAGCAAAACCCATGACTACTTTCGGTCGTGCAATCGCTGTTCGACAATTGACATTCGTCATTTTWTCCGACAACCTTTTTTTGAAATAGGTATATAACATTCAATGAAATACAAGATGAGTTTACTGTCATCACTCTGAATACATAATGCATAATAATGTCACGTGACATGTGTACTGAAACCCAGTCTCCTTTCAGGTTGGCACTTTCGACGCGAGAAGAGATGACAAGTTAAGAATTCTCTTCTGCTTATAAAATTGATATTTAAACTATGCTCAAATAATGACTTCTGCGGGCAATWCGCAAATATTCTTTATTCGTCTGCCTCCAAATATGGCACAGCTGGGACTAATAATTGTCAAAAATGCAATAAAATAATAATTTATACATGATGTATTGCAATAAAACAAGTACATTTAGTATGTTTGTTGTTGGAGTTCATTTCTACCTATTKACTTTCTCTTCCGATCTGTAGGGGTCAGCTGTTTTCATGGTAGCAATGTTTGTCGTACAATATGCAAGTACTTTATTGGGTCAATGGAAAGGTTTTCACTGAAAAAAAWTCCGAAATGCCACTGGTGATTTTAAAGTTAGCAAACCTCGACTACAACCGAGAAAATAAGTTTTTGTTTTTGTTGAATAGTGGAGATTGTTTTCGGAAGGTCGAAGACAAAAAGCGAGAATAGGAACAGGAGAAAAAATGACCCAAGAAAGATTTTTTTAAATATGTTTTTACTTAAATTCACAGAAATACAACATTACGTAATATACAATCTATTATTTATAAGGAAAATATAATTCAAGGATTTTATAATTTAAGGAGATAGCTTTAATTTAAATTGAAAGAAAGTCAATACCTCTACTCCTAAAGGAACGTTTACACTTGCGATTTTTTTGCAGTGCGATTGTCGCGCGATAATCGCCACTTTGCTATCGCGCAACTCAAATAGTACGTGTAAACAGTGCGGTGATGAAAAAAAAATTCAAGTGTCTTGAAGCATGTTGGAAAGTCCCAGGACTCGCGACRATCGCTGCGAGATATCGCTCTGCCGCAGAAATTTGAAAGAAAAATAAAAATAATAAAAATAAAGATAAATAAAATGCTAGAAGTTATAGAACAAATTACTTAGAATACAGGGCCTAACAAATACTTATAAAAAAGCTAATAGAGTATTAGGCCGGGACCAGTCACTGTTAGAAGTTAAAAGAAATGCATGAGGCTTAAGGCATAGTGGAACGAAATTTACAGGTGACATCAAAACGTTTACACACATATTTCACACAAATGACTTAATAACAAAAACAAAACTGACAAAGACTAAGCACTAAACAACTTGGATAAATTGATAAATATTTAATAATCAAGCAACTTTTCTTTGACCTTAGTTGAACGCTGCATATTTGATATTGAATTGACAAGTGTTCTGGCCTTTGCAAATTTTGCAAATTTTGCAAAATTGCAAATTTTGTTTTGTTGCTGATCTTCTACCGGGTACATATGAACATCATAATTATGTTATTATTTAACAAATAGATCTCATTTTTCCGTGCGTGTGTACTCTAATAGATACACAGATGACGTCAAAATGTAGTGAGAACAAAAAAGTWCGCACGAGACGCAGTCGAGTGSGTGACTGTTGTTCTCACTACACTTTGACGTCATCTGTGTATCTATTAGAGTACACACGCACGGAAAAATGAGATCTATCTGTTTTATACAACAAACAATTAGTTTTGACGTAATCCGTGTATCTATACTTTGATAACACACGAAAGCCAACCAATCAAAACGTCTGATTTTACTGAAAAGTTGTATAAATAGTAATATCTTTCAACATAAGAATTCAAAACTGTTTGAATGAGGTTAATTTTATCCCTACACTACTACTAATTGTAGGCAATGAGAACTTGTTCACACTGGTTTCTAATAGTATAACGGCTCATCCTGAGGAAGCCACTAAATCCGAGGTAGCAACTAGCAATATCAGCTGGGGTTTTCAATAATCAAATTTTGTGATAAAATGATCGGATACTTTTGTCCAAAGAAGGGCTTTATACGAATCTGAATTTTCCTCGTGAATAATTAGATGACGAAAATTTAGAAGACGCCAGAAGAACTTCAAACAATGACTTCCATAATTTGATTCGTGAGATTTAATCATTGTCCTATTTCCCTCGTTTCTATGGTAACATTACGAAGAATATTTTTCTTCTCTGGAGGCTTGAACTCATTAAAAAAGCTGCTTGTTTCTCTAGACAGAAATCGTATCATGTATATATGTAAAAATATGGAAACTAGCGGCAAACAGGTGTAGTTTTCCAATGACTGCAGACGTCGACTTTGCCTTTTAGTGTGGTAATTTGTTGTGTCATCTTGTGACGTCGACATTATATGATGACCATTATTATTTCCCATCCGACTTACCAATCATAAATATTTAATTCATTGTTATCTTTTCCAAGTGATGTTAAGACGRCCATTAAGAGACTAAATGAAGTATAGCAATCATTTTTTTATATCTGAGGGCCTTTATTGACAAGGATTCACATCGTAACTTTGATTTTTGGTAAGTGCTTCACGTTCATTGGCGAGAGCGAGAGCATCGCGTACGATATTATTGTTCCTCTAATGGAAGTCATTGTGTTTCCTTTACAATGAATGATTTCTACCACAAAAGCATTTTCAATTCACACCTTTTTCCACATAARAAATTTCTTGCCATCTTTCTGTTAATTGTCATCCCGCTGTATGTTTAACTTAGATGCATCAAGTGTGGAACATCTGTATTCAAACTACTGAAACCTAACTCTATTTGAAGTATTAATTATTGACTGAGGTCGGCTAGCCTTGCGTGATAAAAATACTATTTCCTATGACTCCACTGACTTTGGTGTTTCAAGAACTCACACTTATTCGAGTTTCTCTTTACTCCGACAAAAGATTAACGTCCGCAAATTCAGTAAGGTGTTATATTAAAGGGCTACTTGGACWAAAATTGCGAAACATTAGAAAAGACTTAGAAATCAAATAGACATATCCATATCGGGCTAATAATCATGAAGCAACAGATTTCAAGAAGATATTGCAGATACAAATCCTTAACAATTGGGCAAAAAATGTTGGAGTAGATGACGTCATTTACTCCATCCTTTCGTTCTTCCATCTTTTGAATCAAAATTTCTCTGATGTGGGATAATTCAAAAACAAATCTTTTCCCGCAATTGTTTTTAATAGATATAAATGAGTCATACATTTGTATTGCTTGAAGTTTTGAAATAAGGCCATCTTCATGCAAGTAGCACCTTAAACAACTGTTTCTTTAAAAACGCCGACGGCAGCTCACACTACAATCTAAATTGTAGCTTACCGCCAGTCTCACCATTTTGCACATCATATTTAAACTCACTTGCTTGCGTCTCTCGTTCGTTCTATGATACAAACAAATCCATGTGCGTTTCACTTTCCATGAAATAACCTTTAAGGCTGATTTACACGGTACGATTTGTCGCGCGCGACTTGTAGTATACGATTTTCCTACTACAAGTCGTAGGATTTTAACCAGTGGTTCAAAATCCTACTACAAGTCGTAGGTTGCGTACGACTGTTGTAGACAAGTCGTAGGGGCATTTACACTGCGCGATTCAAGTCGTATACTATAAATCGCACGAGACAATCGTGCCGTGTAAATCAGCCTTTATAGATATCTATTATAGTCAAAAATGTATTGATTTTTCATCAGGTAAATGCGTCAGTATAAAATGATGATAACAATTCTACTTTACTTTACGATGGCATTTCATCGTTCTCAAGCCAATTCATGCAGCCAATCAAGACAGGCAAGCAATGACGTCAGACTTCATGGTCATGTGATCAAGAATATTTCTGGGTTGTCAGGCGGTCATTGTCTTGACTCTTGTAAATCAGAAGACGGCTGTCGAAGTATCAATTACCATCCAGAAACTAAACAGTGCCAGTTAAACAGTGTTACGAATCTGACAAACCCTGAAAACTTTGTTCCTTCACAAGGGTTTCTATATTTCAACGTGAAAACAGGTGTTCCAAAAGCCTGTAGTGATGCCTATTGTGCTGGTAAGGGACAATGCTTGTTTAACAGGACGTTGGGGAAGCCTTACTGTTTGCTGACTTGTCAAGGTATAACTTACTATGTTCAAGCTTTATTAACATTATTTACGCAATTTGACCTCCATGAATGCCGGATCGGACATTTCTTATATGTACATGATAATAAGTTGATATTTGTTCATAGCGCGCCATCTAACGAGATATTTTCACGCATAGGGCTCCTTTAAGAGCGTGACTACAGGGTGGTCCCATAATGCATTGGAAAAATTAATCAAGTATTGACGGACGTAAAAGCCTTAGAAGTTGCTATTTTCTCGAAAAGCCGGGTTGTTTTGCTTTGCCTTTGAAACCATCCAATCACTTAAGACTCAGTCTTATCCAGTAGCGTTGACATACTTTATAATTAATTAGTTTTACCGTGAAATTCCCTTTTAATCATATGACCAAATTGTCATTGATCTCATTATCATTATTTGTATCTTCAATTTAGATGCAAACAAACTTGAAGACAAACAAGTAATATCTTTCCCAAGAAAGTCTACTATAGACAAGGTTGTTTTGGAAAAACCCACGTTGTCTTTGTCTGAGTACACTGCAGCCATATGGTTTCAAGCMGATCCAGGAACCTCAGCACATTCTGTATTTCAGTACCTTGCAGCATCAGGAACTCCCGAACAGTTTGCTTTGTTCGTTACAAAAACCTACATAGAAATCAATGTAGGGAGATACTGGATGACGTAAGTTGATGAATTTAAGTTAATATTCACTGTACACGTATTGTCACATCTCTTGCAATAGAAACTGCAAAAAAAAAAAAAAAAAAAAAATGAAAAAGTATTAATCAGATACAGGAACCAATTACTAGGAGCGTCCATGATTGAGTTTGTTCACGTTTCTATTTTCATTTTTTTTCGACCAATGACTCGAGCAGCCATTAAATCGCGCGGAGGAAATCAAAAATGTATATACCTGATATACGCAACCACTGCGGACGATAGTGAGAGGGTTTTTTTAGCCTGATTTTCAGACTGGCTTGGATCGGTCGCTAACAAGTGGACCACCCCGGCTCGTCTGAATATCAGCCTATACTAGTCTTTCTGAAGTAAGCATTATCAAGTGGTTTACTACTGTTGAGACGACTGAAGATAAATTTAGAAATAGACACGTTTGTGATGAGGCAGTTACACTTCTATATTAGGACATGCACGCTCCTTTTTTTCTAAACTGACTGACATTGTATCGTAATTGTATTTTGTATTGTGATTTGAGTCATGACATAATTTTGCTGGTAATTTTTTGTCTCGAATTTTAAGTGGATTTTGTCCTGGAGCTAGTTGGCTATTGGTATATCCTGACCAATATATCGGCCTTATTTAACTCAAATGTTTGTACTGCAAATCAAGCATCGTAAGCTGCATAGACTGTCAGAATGTTATTTGCATTTAACTAATACAGCGCACGGCAGACAAATGCTTTAATATTCTCATAGTTTCTAGCCCGGATTCTTTTTAGTCGTTTCGTTGCAATGACGATTTACAGGTCGGGACTCGTTTGCATTGAGCAAAATCATAGTACAGATCATACACTCCCTGGAAAACCAACTAAGCCTTCCTACAGAATGATAGTCACATTTATTATTTTCCAGAGTGTCTCCTTACACGAATACTGTCGATGGTAACTGGCATCATGTGTGTTTCTCATGGAGGAACAGCGACGGTGCCTACAAGKTGTATGTCAATGGCTCGTTGCATTTCCAAGGAWCTCGAGACGCAGGSTACGTTATTCCTAGAGGAACCATCTTRCTTGGTCAAGAGGCAGATASTTACGTTGGGAGTTTTGASTCAAGTCAAAGTTTCCAGGGCAACCTAACTAGTTTTAACTTGTGGAACAGAGTCCTCAACGCACAAGAAGTGTCCGAGCTTGCCAAGTCATGCAAAGGGRCTGGACAAGGCAATATTGTAACCTGGTCAGATCTCTCGAGCAGAGGAGAAGGTCAGGCCAAACAGATTATCTCCGATTTTTGCTGCATTGATGAAGTGATAATTTATTAAATACACTTAATCTGTTAATATCAACATTAGTATATGACAACGAACTGAAATCACAGGGAAAATAAACGTTTAATTGATGTTAACAATTTCACTTGACTAGATTCTATAGAGGTACACAACWTTCATCTTTTCAATTTATAAATATTGCGAAAACTGTCGAGTTAACTTGGAAATGTGATGCATGTATAGTAGAGAGATAGTTATGAGGCTTGTTTACACATGTTTACATAAACTAACTAGCCTTTACACTTCATTAACAATAAACTTCATTAACAATAAACAACACATTGATAAATATTCTAGCTAATTTATGAATTTATAAAGTGAGTTTTAATAAGATCGTCCTGAAATTATTTATATTTTTTAACTGGTCCTTCAACAACAACATGAAGAACGCTTTGAATAGTTGCAAAAAAAAAAAAAACAACAACAAAAAAACAAATAAACAAACAATTAAAAAAAAACAAACAAAAAAAAAAAAACAAACAACAATCAAAAAAACAACAACAAACAAACAAGCAAAAAATCCTGTGCGTTTCATCTTCAAGGGAGACATCTTCAGGGAGTGACAACTATTGATTAGCAATAGGGTAGAGAGAAACAAGAGTAGCACTACTCTATCTATTCTATGTAGGTAAGTAGTTTTTTGGGACCATGTGATATGCGCTATATAAAGGTTTGGTGATACCATTTTATTCCCGTCAGTATGTTGAAGGGACTACCAAAATAAGCTGCAAATCAGTACATTTTGAATAGAAACACAGGTATATATAACCCTGAACTAGGACGACCATTCCCTAATAAGCTGTCGATTGAAAATGTGATCCTCCCCTAAAGCTTGCAAAATTGATTTTTGACCTTCCCCTCTCCCTCTCCAGCCCTAATACTAAACATATACCTTCACTTATTGTCATCTAGCGTCAAGTGTAAACCAGCTTATGACTGTGCTTCTGTTTTATCTTTGTTCTCTCTAATGCACACAAAACTATAAAAGATAAAGAAGAATATGTATTGAGAAAACTAAATAAAATCCCAACGATTAAGGCACAAAAACCAAATAATATATTGCGAGGTCGGAAATAATTTTTCCGAATTTATGCCTAATTAGATAGTACAAATCCGAAGGTCGTTGGTTCGAATCCCTGCGAGGTCGGAAATTAATTTTTTTTCCGAATTAATTTCTAATTAATTTCTTAATTTCTGCCATGCTTGAAGAACTTGGATGGCGCTCTCTTGAACAGCGCCGTGCAGACAGCCGTCTCACAACTCTATTCAAAATCACCAGAGGCCTCCTCTCTGTCGACACAAAAGGTCTACTGCGCCCTGTAACTCGACAGACTCGGCGCACTCATGCTGAATCGTTCATCCCCTTGTGCACCCCAACAACATCTGAACACTTATCTTTTTCTCCAAGAACAATAATTCAATGGAACAATCTGCCTGCCTCTATGTTCAATAATCTGTCCTCACAAACTGTTTTTAAAGAAAAATTAATCTGTTTAAATCACCTCCCTGTAAACTAAAGTTTGTTATACTGACCCCCCAGCCATTAATCCTCGTTTGTGAGGGGCAGGCTGTATTGGTAAATAATAATAAATAAATAAATAAGGGTTCTTTCTCCCGGAATTGCCTCCTTCTAAGCATTATAACTTTCTTTCATTTCTATATCGTGTATAACATATTGCAACTCGACCCCGTATAGACAATATAGAGTCAATTTGACTCCACTAAGTCAATTTGGCCCCTTTATATACACTCAATTCTGCCCAATAAGGAGAGTCAACCGCATAAAAAACGTCGTGACAATTCAGTCCCATTCAGACGATTTAGCTTAAAAAGTATAAACATAAGTCTACTCTGGAGGGCTGTTTTCCTCTGTGTAAAGGCGCTATCGCATAGTATGAAATTCAAGTTTCTACAGACATTTTATTCTATCTAAATAGTTTTTTTTATTTAAAATATAGTAAAATAAAATTACAAAAACATACATTATTTTTTAAATTTAAAAATAAAACTTTCATTTATAGCCATTTATTTATTTTTATTTCGATCTGGTTGGGTTGCCTGTGGCCAAAACTTGCGTATGCGCATGTGCACAATGTGCACTCRTTTCYAGTCTCCTCCGAGCATTCAAATTCTGGCGCTCAACTCTTGAAGACTTGAAGACAGGTGTTCGACTTTGGGTAGGATTTACCGCTTTCTTACACATGTTTCTGCAGTTATTGCTTGRATTTAAGCTTTAATATCGTTTTTAACTTAGCTGTTATATTTTTATGCYAATATTTGTGCTATTTTATAGCGATTATCAAGGTTACGAAAATCCAACGTCTCGAACATGCCGAGGAACTTTTCGACCAGTGTATGTCCTTTAGTCGCTTAAAAGTCTGTACTCAAGCTAATGATGTCAATATATAGATGTGATCTCCATCGCAAGATRATTCGGAGCAGCAGCGTATCGACCTTTCGACGTAAGTAAAGCTTTTATTTTGTCTCACTGACTCGAACGGCGCTCAGAATAAGTTATTTTAATTTTAAAATTCGTGTCTTATTTTTCCCAATTATTCATTGTATATATTTTTTCTGTTATTCATTATTCTTTATGATATTTTTGATTTTTTTCATTATTCATTATTCCTTAGGAGTTTTATTTAACTATTCATTTAAATTCCCAGTCACTTTTGAACCGTTTATATTCATTATTCAATATTCACCTTTAGACCCTGAATCTTTGAGCTTTGTGATGTGCATGTCCCAATAGTTTTTAGAATTTTTAGAATTGAAAGCTTAAAAGACATGATGTAGAGATTGAAAGTTTGTTCTGTTTACATTTATTTCATGCACTAGAAATATATTTTTAAATTAAAATCCTTTTTTTAGGAAATTTTTTGCACTTGCCACAACTTTCAGCTTTGTTTGAATGTTTGATTGAGGTATATGTACATGAGTGTGAAGGCTTGAGTCTTGGTAACTCATTATCAGCTTGCATTCATTGATTAGACTTTAGGTATTGTTGTTAAGGTGTGTGTTTGCTCTATTTTGTGATTGAGGAGTATGTACATGAGTGTGAGGTCTTGAGTCTTGGTAACTCATTATCAGCTTGCATTGCTTGATTAGACTTTAAGCATTGTTGTTAAGGTGTGTGTTTGCTCTACTTTGTGATCAAGGAGTATGCATTTGAGTGTGAGGCCTTGTGTCTTGGTAACTCATTATCAGCTTGCATTGATTGATTAGACTTAAGTTATTGTTGTTAAGGTGTGTGTTTTCTCTACTTTGTGATCGAGGAGTATGTACATGAGTGTGAGGCCTTGTGTCTTGGTAACTCATGTCCAGTATGCATTGCTTGTTTGCTGTTTAGAGAGAAGTGCAGAATATTGACAGAATGAATATGCTAAACACACTTGCTTTTAGAGTTCATCTTATTTTGGAATAAATATTTTGCACTGGCCACAACTATCAGATTTGTTTGAATGGTTGATCGAGCCATTCCGGAGTTGCACAGGGGACTGGGCAGTAATCAAAGAAATATTGATCTATTCACAAAACAAACCCTACCCCATGAAAGGACACCCAAAAATTAGTATATATACAAAGTTTCAAAACGTTTGGATGAAAACTAGCTGAACAGTATTTATTCCTAGTTTCATCAAATTAACAGAGAATGTATTGTTTTGGGGGACAAAATCCCCATACATTCTCTGTAATGTATGAGTCAATTCCAAAGGTGCCCACCCCTCCCCCCCCCCCCCCCCGGGCAAACCCCGGGCATTTGACACGACTTCACCTCTGTACAGTGGGGAATTTGACTGATTTAGGAGCAGATGGGCGGGCATTTGACTAGCAGGCGACCATCTTGGAAATTATCGATTCAGATGCGAAACCGCCATTTCGTGACACAATACGAACTTTTAAGCTTAAGTTAAAAATAAAAATATCTCGGGAACATTTTAATAATAATAATAATACGTATTATTTATATAGCGCCGATATCCTTACAGTTCAAAGGCGCTTCACATGATCACGGATCGCTATTAGCAGCCACGAGGCTTACAATCATTTTTGGGAACATTCTCGATCTTTTGTACTTTCACGATGAGAAATCACGATATAAAAAGCAACAAAAACACTCGAAAACTAGCGTAAAAAAACTGACTTATGGGGCGGGCATTTGACCACTTATTTGCTTTTTAGTGTGGGCATTTATTTGCCTGTCAATTTTGCCCATATGGTGGGGAATTTGACCCCTTTTTTTTCGAAAAGTCAAATGCCCGGGGGTTCGCCCTGTATCACCCATAAATGTAATAATCGACCATAAATGTAATACNAAGTGACGGCTAGTGATGGTCAGTGATGGTTAGTGATGGTTAGTGACGGCTAGTGATGGATAGTGATGTCTAGTGATGGCCAGTGATGGTTAGTGATGTTTAGTGATGTCTAGTGATGGTTAGTGACGGCTAGTGATGGTTAGTGATGATGGATGATGTTGGGTTCTACTGTGATGGCTGGAATTAAAGTGAATTTTTCCCTATTCGTGTATGTGAACATGGACGTATTACCGAACTTTTGAACCTGACATTGATTTATTTGCATCCAAGTTGAATGCTAAAGTGAATAAATTTGTTTCGTGGTCACCAGACCCGTATGCTTTCGCCTGTGATGCATTTTGCCTTGACTGTAGTAATTTTAGACCATATTATTTTCCTCCTTTCAGCCAGATCCCAAGAGTGTTAACCTATTTACGATTATACCGTGTTCAGAAGMTCCTTCTTGTGACACCAGTGTGGCCATCACAGGCGTGGTATCCAGCGGTTCTACAAATGCTCATAGATCGTCCAATTCTCCTKCCCAATTGGTCGAATCTTCTTCAACTTCCGCATTCCGGTCAGCTACATCCTCTACGCGACCAGCTTCAACTTGCCGTTTGGACTCTGTCAGGAATAGATTTCAGGGTCAGGGAGTTTCTGAGGGGGCAACCAAGGTTATCTGTGAGTCTTGGACCAAGGGGACAAAGAAACAGTACGAACCGGCATGGTCCAAATGGGAAAGCTGGTGTTGTGAACGGTCGGTCGATCCTTTTCAAGCACCTATAAACATTTTTCTTAACTTCTTGAATCAGTTGTATGACGAAGGCAAGGCTTATAGCACGATAAATACTTATCGTTCTGCAGTATCAAGTACGGTGGAAGCTGTGACTGGTATTAACGTTGGCTGTCACCACCTAGTGTCCAGATTTATGAAGGGAGTCTTTGTTGGTAGGTCTCCACAGCCTAGATACACT